ATTAGTGAAAATAAAACACTCAGGTTGGTATTTTTATTATTTGCTATAATTCTCCTATATTACAGAAGACACGCTGCAGTTTTGTGACAACTTTGTGATATTGTTTATGGCTCAACAACCTGAAACCAGTGGTACACATGTTCTGCCTTTAAGCGGGGGCAGAAAAAAAAAATTGAGATCTGTAAGTGCTTAAGAATGTATCCAGATGGCAAATCAATACTGAAATAATTAACATTCTCTTATTTTTCCATTTTTGGCCAGGCAGATTAAAAAATTCTTGTTAAGTTTGGGTCTGAAGTATTTTATTCTCACAAGTAGATTTTTTTTTATAGCTGCATGGATACTTAAATATTCTTAAAGGTGATCGTTTAAGGTTTTTCTCCAAGACCGCTGTATTTTGAGAACTTTACAAGTGTTTTAATTTTTTCATTAACTTTTTTTTGAGAAAATTATAGATGCATCTGCAGTTATAAAATAAAACAGGCTCTTCCTGTATGTTCTTTATTAGTTTTCCCAGTGCTACTTCACTAATAATCTTTTGTAAATCTACAATAAAAGGGCACAACCAAGAAAACTGAAGTTAATGCTATCTATTGATATTATTCAAATTTCCCCACTTATATATGCATTCATTTTTGTTACTTTGGGGTTTGATTTTGTTTGGATTTAAAATATTTATTTTTTGCTCTGGGTCTTGCACATGCTGAGTATGCTTACTAACAGCTCTGCAAGGACCCCAAGTCCCTGCAAGTTTTTATTTTTGTATGTCTATATCTTTGGTAGATGAAATTTTATCACATGTTGAGGTTTGTGTATCACCATCACAGTCAAATATACAGACTAATCAAATCATCATGAGAATTTCTTTGTTTTCATACTCATTTATAACCATACCACTTTTTTCTTTTTCCCCTACCCCAATCTCTGAAAACAACTCATCTTTACCGCTATAATTTTATCATTTCAAAAATTTGTATAAACAGGATCTTATCATATGTAACATATAGGAATAGGCTTTCCTGCTTGCCTGCCTGTCTCCCTTTCCTCCCTCCCTCCTTCCCTTCCTCCTTACTCTTCTCCCTCCCTCCCTTCCTCCCTTCCTCCCTCTCTATTTCCCTCCATCCCTCCTTTCTTCCTGAACCTCCCTTCCTCTCTCTCTCCTTGCTTTATAGAGATTGAACTAAGAACTAAGAGATTGAACTAAGTGCTTTGACTTGAGCCATCCATTAACCCTTTTGTTGGTATTTTGTTTTACGCTAAGAGTCTTGCTAATTTTGCCCGAGTTGCTCTAGAATGCCAAATCTTTATGTCTGTTTTTGGTATTGTTTGGATTATAGGCATACACTCTTGGCCTTTGTGATTTAACATAGTTCCCTCTGAGATTCATCCAAATTTTGCATGAGGATATCTGACTTCTTTCTAGTTTTTAGCTGTTTTTTTTTGTTATTTGTTTTTAGCTGTTATGAAAAAGGTTACTTTGAGCATTGATATACATGTTTTTGTATTAATGTCCAGTTCTCTGTGATAAATATCTGAGTGAAATTTATGGGTACTGAAACCTTACTTATATTCAAGCCCTTTTGCTTTTCTACCTTTCAAATATTGCATAGAGTAGTAGCTGTTGTTACAATTTTTAATCAAATATAATTTGATTAAATACTTAGGATACTTAGAATACTTAGGAGGAGATACTCTACCTTTTCATTATTTTTTTTAATATTTGAGTTTTCTCCTTTATCATTTTCTTTGAAAAACTTCCCTTAGCCATTTTTTAAAGGTATGGCTACCAATGACAGATTCTTTAGTTTTCTCTTGTTTAATGCTGAGATGCCACCTCACCCCAGCTAGAATGGCTATAATCAAAGAAAACTAATAACAACAGATGCTGGAGGGGATGTGCCCAAAAGGGAACCCAACTGCATTGTTGATGGGAGTGTAAATTTGTTCTACTACTCTGGAAAGCAGATTGGGGGTTCCTCAAAAGACTCCACTGATCCATTGTGATGACGAGATGTACAGGACCCAGCAATCCCACTTTTGGGCATTTACCCAAAGGATCACAAAGAAGGTCATACCAAAGCTACCAGCACAACCATGTTTATCACACTATTATTTACCGAAGCTAAGATATGGAACCAACCCAGATGCCCCTCAGTAGATGAATGGATCAAGAAAATGTTGTGCGTGTGTGTGTGATACACAATGGAATTCTATGCCTCCATCAGAAAAAATGACATTGCCTCTTTTGTTAGGAAATGGAGAGACTTGGGGGGAAAAATCATATTAAGTGAAGTAAGCCAGGCCCAAAGAAACATAGGTCCCATGGTTTCCCTTGTTTACATTGACTAGTACATGTCTAGGACAAGCAGAGTAGGTCAAAGGCTATGTACATACAACCATATGAGATAATGTTAAGCAAAATGTACCCCAAGACAGGGACACAAGAGGTTTATTATTTTTTTCTTGCTTGCTTGCTAGTGCTTTTAATGTACTTACAATAAACTATGTGATTCTTTTGTTTCTATTGTATGTTCTTCCCCCATGGTATAACCCTGTTTTCACTGGATTTGATGCTGGTGCTCTGCACCTTGTATATATATTTTCGTAATTTGGGGAGGGGAAGGGATATTGCAGAACTCTTAAATGAGGATGCAGGCTGATCCATTGTGATGACGAGATATACAGGACACTATATTGAAAAAGAACTTTACAATGTCGGGGTGGGGGTGGGGGAGTGGGAGGAGTTGGGGAGGTAGGGAGGGAAGTGATGATAGGGGGAGAATAAGGGAGATGGTAACAATGCTCACTATGACATGTATGCATTACCCTACTCATGTAACTGTAACCTCTCTGTACAATAAAAAAGAATGCTTTTATTTTCAATTCATCTATGAATGACAATTTTGATTTAGAATTGTCTGTCATTTTTTGTTTTGACAGTTTTCTCTTTAGTTCAGGAGGAAAAAGCTTGCCTGGAAACCTTAAGTTGCTAAGTTGTATATTGGAGGTGTAGGGCCTGGTTTACACACACCCAATATTCTTCTTACAGGCCTGGGGATTATAAATTGATGTGGTATTCTTCCCACCTTTCCTAGTTCTCCTTTCCTAGTTACCTCTTACGTTATTTCCAGGGTTATAGTTGAACTTAGCAAGGGAGAGTCACAAATATGAATCTGTGCCATCCTGTATGGAGTAGAACTTTTTATTTATCGTTTTTTTCTAAAGACCCTTTGTTACAGTTAGTATTTTGTTCATGAAATATGTTCCAGGGTAGTTCAAAGTTCAATTGAATGAGAAGCCTTCTGTAGATTAGAGAGTGCTAAAATTCATTAAATAATATTCAAGTGCAGTATATTTTGCTACTATTATTGAGAGAACCTTTCTCTAAGAAAGACTAAGTCTAAGATGTTAACTCATTGGCTGCAAAAGATTCTAATTATTCTTGCTGAAACTAGAGAATGTAGGTATAAGCCACTTTCTGCTTTTGGGAAACTAACAGAAATGTTTCTTGTGTATCTCTTTTCTCTGAGTGACCCATTTGTCACTGAGTCCTTAACAGCCAGGTGGAAAAGACAAGTCTGTCCTCTGTCTTATGTGTGCCAATGCATTCTTACTGATACGGAGTCTGAGTATCTTCACAGTCTAGAGACTCCTGTCATGTCTACACTGACCATATTGGTCTACTTGGATGGAGACCTGGGCTCATTGTGTATCAGGAGCATAAAGTTGAACAAGGAAGTGTGTATTTTCTGTATTTTTGAATGCATAGTACCTAGAGTGAGTTCTAAAGACATTTGTGGACATAAAATTCTAAATGTAAATTTGATAATTTAGGGTTTGGGTAATGGATGGATATTCTTACATTTGTCACATATCAGTAGTTTTTCAAAGGTTTTATATATTTTTCAAAGGGTTTTACTTAGTACATTTATGAATTTGTGTAGGTGAGATTCAAGATTTTACCCCCCATAACTTTTGATTTATTCTAATTTCACTCTAGCAGCATTTTGTTAAACTGGAAAAGTACTTTTAAAGTATTTAAAACTTTGCACTGCTTTATATAATACATATTTTCCTGAATTAAGTATTTATATGTTGTGTTTTTTTGAGTAATTCTCATATGATAAGGCCATATAATAAAGAGCCCTGAAATGATTTTTTTTTAATGTGAAAGTCAAGCCTCAATTTTTTTTTTTTAGATTTTATTTTTGTGCTGTAGCTTTTCTATTTTATCTCCCTGCTCCCTCAAAAGAATGAACAACCTTTTGGCTGCTATATCTTGATATGGTATTGTGTCCTTCACACAATTTACAAGATCCATGGAATCCTGCTAGAACTCAAAGTTACCTCAAGAAGCTATTCCAACATTTGCCTTTGGACATTTGTTGTGACTAATAAACTAATAAAACTTCTTAATGTGTATGAAGCATTTTAAAATTCTCACTTGGATTAGAATTTGTGGCTTAGTATGAAAACTGTAGATAAATACTTCAGTATATAATATAAAGGGTCTTTTTAGCATGTGATAATATTTGAACCAGAGAATTAGAAGATATAAGTAATGAAAAGAAAATATACTAAGGATGCTTGCCTCTAATTAGAGTTTAACGTGTGAAATTAAAAAAACTATTACTAACCTATTTTACAAATTAATCTCTTATGGAAGAATAGAATGGGTAAGAGTTAATATAGTTTTCCATACAAGACTATGTTAACTCTTTTTCATACAGAAATATTAAAAAATGTTATTTAAATGAGAACATGCTATGAACAGTTTGAATCAGCTGTAAACTACCCCTAGCTGTTAAACAGGGATTTAAAACATATGCACAGATCTGTATATGTAAACTTCAGAGTAATAATATATTTGCATATATTTTTGTGGATTTATTTAGATTCTTTGTAGATATTTTGTGGATTTATTTAGATATCATTAGAGAGAAGGTATCATGTAATCTCATTAATATGGTTCCTCATAAAAATATTCTCTTTGTTTTTAGATTACCTCTCTAGTGACCCTTCAGTTGTTAAGTCTGGTTGGCCATGATGATCAGCTTGATGGACCAAAATACAAATGCACAGTTTCACTAGATTTCATCAGAGCTATTGCAAGGTAAGAGAATAATTGTTAATGAAAACTGTCTTAAATAATGTAAATGATGTACTAAATACCAAAATTAACATTCTTTCTAATATAACATCATTAGTCACTGAAACAAAAACCATTTAAGTGCCAAGAATGAATGAACTTTCCTGTAGAATGAATCCTTTCATAAACTTACCAGTGATTAAAATTAGGATCAGGAACTAATTCTTTAGATGACAAAAACTAAGGTCTGACATTTCTTAACAGACTAGAGTAATAGTTTGATCGTATCAAGGTAGGATTTAATAAGATCATTGGCTAGGAAATAAAGTTCATGGTTTTTCAAACAAGAGACATGGCATATGTAGCTTAAGTCCTGATGTTTTAGCTGACTGTAGGGCTTAAAAAAATCCTGACATAGGGACTAGGAAGGTGGCTCAGTGGTAGAGTGCTTGCCTTGCATGCATGAGGCTCTGGGTTCCATTCCTCAGTACCACATAAGCAGAAAAAGCCAGAAGTAGCGCTGTGGCTCAAGTGGTAGAGTGCTAACCTTGACCTGAAGAGCTGAGGGACAGCTCCCAGGCTGAGATCAGGCCCATGACCGACCCCCCCCCAAAAAAAAAAATCCTGACATAGGTGACTCTGATAGAAATACAGTGTCTTGTTCAGGTGATGTAATAGTTCTATGTTGCCATAGGAACATCAAATCTGGTGTGCTGTGCTATGCTTAGAGTTTTAAGAGAATTGACAAGTGGGTACCTGAAGAAGGGATAGGAGAAAGAGGACATGTTAACTGTATGAAGTATATCCCGTGATGATATGTGCAAAATGGATAATTGGAGCAATTTTAGAGCATTAGAAGTTTACAGGAGAGAGTATGTTTGTCCAAATGAGAGCTGTTTCAGCCCTTGGACAAGATACTATATTTCTACCAGTGCTATTGAAAGCTTTACAGTCAGTTTTCAGAGGACATTGAAATCATCAATCCTTCAACTGCCAGCCTTGGAACCCATATTGCATATTCTCGTGTGTGTGTGTGTGTGTGTGTTCCTCTTCTGACCTAAGATAAATTCTTTGTCCTGTGCTCAGAGCATCTGTTGATCTAAGGCTATTTGTCCTTTCAGTAGCACCTAACACTTAACTACTCTCTGAGAGGTCTTTCCTTTTAGAGCCCCTGGTGCCATGATTCTGATTTCTTCTTTATTCTTTGGTTATTTTTGCTAAGGTTTATTTTCCAGCTTATCCTTTCTACATGACCTTTAAATAGAGCTGTTCCTTGAGGCTTGATCCTGGGGTTCTTTTTTCTTAGCTACATATACGACTTCAACCATGTGTTTATTAATAACTGCCCTATTATCAAAGGCCAGACCTTGTAAATAATATTTTTACCTATATTGATTGTATCCCAGCTACAACCATATATTTCCAAAACCAAACTCACCTCTGTTTTTATCCACCAACACAAAGGGAAAGATCCAGCTTTCCTCCAATATTCATGTTTGCATCTGATCATTTCTGCACTCTACTATGTTGCACAGATCTGATGCTTGGGAGTCATCTTGTTATTTCCCACATGCAGATAGGTCATTTGTCCTCCGGTATATTGTAGATTCATTCACCTGCTGTCATTTGTACTTTTGCCACTTTAGTAGCCTCTACTAAACTAGAATGATCTTTTTTAAAAAAAATGTCAAGCTCTTATTTAAGTGTGTTTTATATTTCTGATAACTCTTTGGCCTATAAATAATGTGCCTCTTGCTCCTGTCCCCAACACAACTAGCACACACCATTTCTTCCCCATGTATACACTTCTCCATTCTGCCTAGTTCAGTTTTTCATGTTAACCATCTAGCTTTCCATCTTTGCACTTTCAGCATTGTCCCACTTCTCTCCATCATCTTGTCAACTGCTATGCAGCCTTCAGATTTCAGTTTAAATGTTTCTTACACGATCCTTCTCAAATGCCATGGGCAGGGTAGGCCTGCTTTCTGACACTTATGGCAGAGGGTAAGTGAGAAGACACAGTGCTGCCTGTAATCCTAGCCACTCAGGAGGCTGAGATCTAAGGATCACAGTTCAAAGCCAGCCCAGGCAGGAAAGTCCATGAGACTCTTACCTCCAGTTAACCACCAGAAAACTGGAAGTGGTGCTGTGGCTCAAGTGGTAGAACACTTGCCTTGAGCTGAAATGCTGAGGGACTGTGCCCAGGCCCAGAGTTCAAGCCCCACAGCTGACAAAACAAAAACACACTATGCAGTTACCGAAAATCTTTTAAAGGATAAAGCTCAAATAAATACTTATACTATATGCTTAAGTGGACAAGGCAGTTATATATAAAGTTGTATACACAAGAAAACTTAAGGGAAGAGAATAATGGTCAGAAGTCAAATGCTGCCAAGAACTTGAGCAGGGTCATCTTTTTTAATGATAAAGCAGTCATTTGTAATGTTAGCAGGAACACTTGGTAGGATAGAAGCCCAATTTTAAAGATTTGAGCATGTCTAAAAATTGATAGGGAAAACCAACAAAAGAGAGTTAATGGTATAAAACAGAAAGAAATTAAACCATGGGAGTTATTATGTAAGCATGAAATTTAGAACATGAAGTGAAAGAGTCCTGGATGAGATGCATTCTAACATTTTTTTTATTGCATCCCTATTTATTGCATTATAACAAGAAAGAAAAAGATTTCAGTGAAACTAAGTTTGAAGTTTTAGTACCAAAAGAGTTCTGATCTGGTGGCTCCTATTTTCCCAGTGAAGGAGGAGGCAAAATCATGACAAATGGCAGAAGTAGTAGCAGTGTGAGAGAAATATGAGATGTTTGAAATAGTCACCACAGGGAATGGAAGAAAATGCTGGGAGGGTTAAAGTTCTTGACCTTGAATTTACAATGGCACCAATCTGTGAGACTTGTGATCTTTTCCTGCAGCATTCCATATGCTAGATACTAGGGCAGCAAAGAATTATAATTGAAATCACATAATACTGGGGTTTTGCCAGATGAGTTCCGATGAATGCTAGCAAGTGAGCTCTTGGAGTGTAAACTGGACAGAGAGGGGCTAATAATTTCGTGTCTGGCACAATTTTAAATACTCAGTATTATGATTTGTGAACTGATTGGCCTAAGATGTTCCAGATAGCTCAAATTGAGCATATTGAGAGTAGAAGGTAGAATGTCTAAATGGATATTTTCTGAGCATAATCATTGGAGATGATGAAGACAAATGTGTGTCGCCAAGCTAGTGCAGGTCTTAGGATGCAAAGGAAGAACAGAACTGAATGTTGAACTTTCAGTGACTAAGAGATGATAACCAGGTGGGTCGATGGTGGTAAGTGGAATGTTCTGGTTCTCAGAAGCACAGACTTTTATTGTTATTATTATTATTTGTACAATAACATCAACCCCAACTGGCAGAACTTGTCTGGGGTAGCACAGTTGACTCACTAAATCTTCCCGTCCCAAGTTTCAGTTAGGCCCAGAAGGAGAAAAGGAAAATTTATTGAAGAAATAGAGAATATAAACAGCTTTGTTGGTTTGAACAGAAAGGCAACGGGAAGCTGGTTCCTGAAAGGGAATACAGAATGTGAAATAAAGTTTGGAGAAGACAGAGGAACTGAAAACCTTGTACAGTGCTGTTCTTGAAATGTTCTTAATGTGAATGAAAGTTCTAAGTTCATAATTGCTTTTCCTCTATAATCAGTGGGAAGTCAGTACAAGATATTTTACAGTTACAGGTTAGTATGATTGCGAGTAGTCAGAAAAAAACGATTTTTAAGAGAACCTAAAATCAGATAACCCACACAAGTAAAAAGAAATAAAATAGTAACTTGTGAGAGAAAAATAAAATAGTTCAGTGTAAAGCAAAAGAATTGACAGAGTGAAGTAAAAGGATATAAATAAAATTATACCCTAAAATATATATCATATCATTTACTTGTATTCTAAATTATTTTTTTTTAGTTATCTTTAAGTAGTTGTACAAAGGAGATGCTATTTAACATATCTTAGCCAATGTTACTCCTTTCAGCATTCTTACTTGTATTAGCCTAAATTCTTTTGCCACATCCCCAGCTGTTTTATATTTTAGATAGGGTCTCAGTTTTTTGCCCAGAGCCAAACTCAAACCTGTATCCTCCTACCTATTTTTCCTTTGTAGCTGGGATTACAGTTATGAGTCAATATGCCTAGCTTGTTTGTTGAAATGTATCTTGCTAACTTTTGCCTAGGCTATCCTCAAACTACATTTACCCTCTTCTCTGTTTCCTCAGTAGCTGGCATTACAGGTATTTACCACCATGCCTGACCATATTCTTCTTTCTAGCTGCTTGCTTTAGATAACAATTGATTTGAGTTCTTTGGGAGACAGTATTTGCTGTAAAATCTTAAAATTATATTTATATGAGTCTAATGTGCATCTGAAGCCAGAGAAACCTATAGTGGTAGGTTTCTGGTGGGTCACACCTATATTCCTAGCTGCTTAGTAGCCTGAGACCTAGAGGATTGAGATTCAAAGTCAGCTCACAAAAAAGTCTGTGGGACTCCATTTCCAATTAACCAGCAAGAAACTGGACTGGAGGCATGGCTCTAGTAGTAGAATGTCAGCTGCAAGCAAAAAAATCCCTGAGGACCTGAGTTCAAGACCCAGTACTGGCATATGTACACACATTAGTCAGAGAAAGTAGGTGTAAAGTACACAACTTTATTTGTATTTAAAGTGGGTTGTTTTCCTTCAAAAAGTTAACTTTTGAAACATGTGATTTAATTTTTGATGTTGCCCTGGTTATTTTACCAAATTCTGAAATGCAGACTTGTTTAAAAGAATACATATGTGTTTGTGGTTGCGGGGGTGGGGGTCATTTAGCAAGCCACTCATCCATATGGGTGAATGACAGAAGGAAGTAGACACAGAGTCTAAAAATCTTACTGTCAGTCAGTTTGCTTGAGAACTTCCCAGTGACAAAACAGAGAAATGGAGTGGAATCAGGCTTTTATGAATTTGTGTGTGTGTGATGATTAGTGGTTGAAAGTCCACTTTTGTTATTAAAAATTACTGCATGAACTGTGCTGTAGTGTAGTGTATAAAACAGTATAAGTAGATTATTGAAAATAAATGAGTCCTTTTATAAGTAAATCTGAGAATTGTTATTTGTTTATGTCCTCTTCTAGTACTAGTCTGTTAGACAAACATTTTTCTATAGCTAATTCAACATAATTATAACTGTTCACCTTTCACCCATAATAGTGTAGATACAACATTGTATTGATCATTTTGTATGGCTTTATACTATTCTGTAATTGAATCATACCTTATAATGTAGGAATTCGCTAATGTTGCTCTAATGTTGGAATTTAAGTTGTTTTAGCTTCTTCTGAACTTTTTGTTTTCACTTAGGGTAAAGTGAAAGAAAAAGAAAAGAACAGTCTATTTTATCTCGTCATTTGATATTTGCAACCTTAAGACCCAAAAGTCGTTGTAAGGAAGAAGTGTACCTGGAGAGATATACAAATTCCAGTTGCCCTTTTTTCCCTCAATAATTAAAAGTAGCCTATTGTTTCTGTTTCTCTAAAAAAAAAAAAATCCTTTCCACTAATATCATTACTTTTAAAAATTATTTTTATAGGTACCTTGTTGTCAGTAAATTTCAGAATTTAAGACTTGAATAAAACAAAAACAAAATAATGTAATTTAGTAACCATACTTATACATGAGGTAAATTTTTAAAATTTAAGTAACTGTCTTTAGTCTTTTTATTCACTGTTCATGCTACTGGGACTGTTTTTGCAGTGGTTTTATGACATTTAGAAAGGTTTAGTATTCTGCAGAGATGACATGGTTGTTGGTAGTTGTTGGTCTACTGTGAGGTAGCACAACAGCCATACCATCTCACTTGAGCTATTTTGAAATGTGTTTTCATAAGCAGTATCTATTGATGATATGTCAGTCATTTGCTTAGAAACTTCTAAAGAAAGTATATTACAGAGTGATAGACAAAAACATTAATTGGTTATGGTTTAATAAATAAGAGCATGCAATTAGAGAATCTTTAAAAGGCTGTTCTCACTTGAATGATTAGTTTCGTAGAATTGAATACTTAAAGCTTTAATTTTATACTTATTACTCGATCATTATATCTAATTATTTTGACCATTTATTCAAATAATAAACCTCCAAGTCTGAATATTTATAGTGAAGAGTGAGTTTGGTGAAAAGAAAATAATTATATGTCTCTTTTTCTCAGCTATTTTACTCTGCCTGCCATCAGAGTACAAAAATATACATCTACATCGTCTGTTTATCGTATTCTTGGATCATACAGATTTAGTTACAATACACATGCAGGTCAACCACTGAAAAGAATGAAACTGCAAATGAGGACAGATGAGCTGTACATTTATGTAAAGATAAAACAGGTGTTTTGGAAGAGCAACATTGTTCAGAAGCATAGAAGATTTCAATACTTTTGCATCTCTAATTACTTTATTCCTATTATTAGACAAAAAGAAAATAGCTTTCAAGTGAAATCCGAGCTTCTGTAATGTAATTGAGATGCAGAATATTGAACGGTTCTAACTTTTTTCCTTTGTTTTTTTTTAAAGAAAAGTAAACTTTATGCCTGGCAAAACAAAACAAAAGAATTTTATATGCACTCTAATAACTTTAAAAAATAGTGTACATTTAATAGTATTGTAAGATTATTTAGCTTTAGTTGTGAACTTATTTCGCTTGTGCTTTTCAGAATCATACAAAACTGAGCAGTGTGGAGATGAGGATGCTAACGTAGTATCTGTTTTTGTTTATAGGACGGTGAACTTTGACATAATAAAATACTTGTATGATTTCTTGTGAAAACAAGCTTCAAAGCCATATGGACATTGTGACAATGACTAAGCCAAGCTGTGTTCATCCAACTCCTTAGCTGGCCAGGGAGAGGAGTTCTTTGGCTCTCTTGGATTTGTCCAAACAGGTGCTGGCCCAGCATGGAATCTGATGAAAATATTCTGATTGGTCTGGGTAGATGTGAGCAGAAGACTATTTACCAGGGACCCTGGAGTATTTGGAAGCAACGTGTTAATTATAAACAGCAGGGTTTGAGCACAATCTGTTCTACTCTTAATGATGTTATCTTAACACTGAAATTGCCTGAAACCCATTTACTTAGGACTACATTTTGCTCTGTGAACTATCCCCTGCGCTTTGAACGTGCCAGCAGCCCTTGTTTATATGCCCAGTCTTTTCACTTCCTCTCCATAGGAGCCTGTATGGTTGCTTGCCAAAGCAGATTTCCTAAGGCCATTATTTTAAAAGATCATAGTTGCAAAATATAATAAAATATTTTTAACCTAAACTTGTATGTTTCACCCTAATTTTCTCAAAAGGCAGATCAGTTGTAGACCAGCTTTCCATTTCTAAGCCTACTTGTTAATTTCACATGCTATGTAAGGTCAGTCTGGCCACTCTCTTGTAATTAACTACCCAACCTGGCTTATTTTTTTTTTATCAGCATTTGGTTTCCTTTTCTTTTTCTTTCTTATTTTTCTCCCCTGCCCTTCCCTTTTCTCCCTCTCCCTGTTCTTCCCTCCCTTCTTTTCATTTTTTAAAATCATTGATCTTAGTGAGTCAGTAATAAAATTCTTTCTTGTTGTATGTTGTTTATCTTGGTTTCACTTTCTTTTCATCGTTTTAAAGAAGTTTTCTGTTAGTATTTGAATGCTTGAAATTGAGCAGATTTAAGGTGCTTAGAATCTTGTTTAATTTTCAGTAGCATTTGATTCCTTCATTTCTTTTGTGAAGAAAAATTCTCCCAGAAAGCATTTCTAGTTAAGAAACCTTTTTACATAGTGATTGTCTGAACTGTGTTAAAGAATACAGGTCTTTTCAGTTTTTCTACTTGCTTTTATTTAGTGCTAATGACTAAGGAGAAAAGGAATGGAGTTTCTTTTTGACTACTTATATAAGACAGCAAAGGAAAACTTCCTAGCACAGAGGACAGCATTACAACTAGTGAGCAATGCTTCCTCACTGTGAGTCTCATTTCCCACAGAAAGTGGTAAGTTTTATGTGTCGTAAGATGCTTAGGGAAACATGACCAGTACAAAGCCATGTATAGTACTGATTGGAATATTTCTCCACATAGAAATCCATATTGTCAAAGTAGAAATCCCATTTGGGTGTCTCGTTCAAGGGAAGAGCATTGCCACCTGGGATGGTTCTTTCACCTCCTCATATTTTGCTGTGCAGATGGGCATCTGCTACATAGGCTGTCAAGGACCAGTCTGAATTTTGAGGGTGAAATTCTAGGTACTAAAAGTAAGGAGATATTGTCAAATAGGGAAATGGGGATAAGGACAGGAAGGAGATAAAGTTCCACCTAATCACTGTTGGTCAACTGTCCCCTGCCCAGCACATTCTCTATCTGTACCCACACTATACCATATTGCCTGCCCCAGGTACAGCTTTCTTGTATGGTACCTTGTAACTACGTTTTTTCTTACCCTGACTGAACATTGAAAAGTTTGCTCTTTTGTAATTTACTCTCTAATGGCTTGCTAAATGACTCACTAATTTGATTAATTCATTTAAATGAATACTAACAGAGCTTAATGTGTATATTAACATTTTAACAAGGGTCATCTGCAAATGGAATTCTCTAATTGTAAGACATAAACCTCTAATTATAGGAGGAAATCTAATGATGGGAATTATGCTGTCTGATGGGCCAGATCTTTGTTAATATTAGAGGCACTTAAATGCAGTATCTACCTAGACCTCATGGTGATTTGGGCCATAGAAGATGAAAGCTATTAAAACTCAGAATCTTTAGATTATTTATATGTAGACTTCTTTCAATTACCAAAGCCAAGTATACAAAAACTTTACTCCTGCTTCCTTTTTACTTACAAGTCATTTTCAGTTCTGAGACCAGTCTTTATCGATAAAACAGTTCTTTTTCAACAGCTCTGAAAGAGACTTTGATCCACAGAGCTTAATCTCATTGTCTTAAAGTCACAAACAAATGCAATCTCAATACTAATATAGCAGTTAAGATTTGGGTTTCAGAGCCAGGCTACCTTAGATGAAATATCAGCTGTATCACTACTGGCACTGTGATGATAGACTTGTTATATTACCTCTGTGTGCCTCTCCGTTCTTAACTGTTGCTCTGATTTTGACAAGTATCCCCTTAAGTGTGTGAAAGGCTTGGTCCCCATCTTATGGTGCTATTGGAGGTAATGGAACCTTTAAAAGGTGGAGTTTAAGGGGAGGAAGTTAGATCATTGAGTGTGTATCATGAAACAAATGTTGGAACCTCAACCCTTTTTCTTTTCTTCCTGACTGCAATGAGGTAAGCAGATTCTTTTCCTATCCAGTCACTGACCCAGGCTCAAAAACAACAGGTCCAACTGATCAGATAATACTCTAAGCCTTGTATTTGCTATTTTGTTGCAGTACTACAAAGCTGGCTGATAAAACCTATACATCACAGAAGAGAATTTACCTCATAGAGTTGTTTACTGTATTAAATAAGTTGATATATCTAAAGCAGCAATTCTCAGGTGGGGGCAATTTTGTCTGCCAGAATATATTTAGCAATTTTGTCTGCCAGAATATATTTAGCAATTTTTGGAGACATTGGGGGTCACTACCAAGCAGGGGATGGGAAGGGTTAAGGCCAGAAAAGCTGTTGAATACATTAAAATACATATCCCATGATAAAGTTACCCAATCTAAAATGTGTCAGTTGAAACAAGGTTGAGAAACAGTACAGATAAGGTACCTGGCACATAGCAAGTGTTCAGTTAGCTATTGTCATAAAATATGTATTTATGTCTAAGAAAGGAGTACTTTACCTACAGAAATTATTATGTATTTGTACAAAGAGTTTACAGTTTTGTAAGTCAAGTTATGAGTATAATGCTTTGTGGTCAGTGTCACCTCTTCTTCATTTGCCCCTCTTTTCCCTCTCCTATACTCTCAAGTTATGTAGCTCAGTTTTTACACAATGATCATTGGCTATAATGACTACATATGCTCACCTTCCATTCCTTCTTTTCTTACTTGAAATTTAGAATCAGTCCAATAGTCACAATGCTCTGTGTGTGTGTGTGTGTGTGTGTGTGTGTGTGTGTGTGTGTGTATATACACATATATATTATAATTAAAGGGTTGTCCACTATGTTCTAATCCACATTCAGGCTTTATTTACTTTTAAGGATCCTGTGATATAGTGGTGGTACAGTGATTCATTCAGAGAGCAAGTGCCCATCTACTTGCATTGTTTGCCCCCAAGGTGTGATGACTGAACAATTAGTGGCATAGCTCCTACACACTGAGTCAACTAAACAATGATTAATGCAGTTAATATTTTCTAGGGCATGGAAAACTACAACAATCAGAAACCTACTCATTCTTTAGCACTTTCAGTGCTATGAAAAGTAACAACAAACTGAAGAATAATGTACTCCTTAACACAGAGTACTTGGTAAAGCTTAAAAGTAGAAAATGAGATAGAGAAATTTGCATGTGTGCAGTCAGAGCTGAAAGTGCCTTCCATTGCTACCTGAAGTTTCACAATATCATGTATTGTAATTGCTTGCATTTTATGCCTTTAGCCATAAGCAGACACTTGGATTGGAGGTAATTAGACCAGAAGTTGATATTATTCAGCTTCATCTCCTACATTTTGAAAGCTTCATCTACAACGTATGATTGCCTATCACATGTGAATAATTTAGATAATTTTGCATGTAATTTCAGGCTGCTGACACAATTTGCTTTCAAAAATGCTTAGTAGAGCTCAAATCCTTCCTATCAAGATAGCAACATTTCACTCAAATTTGCCGTTAAATGCCTTGAATACACAGTTAATGCTCATTTTCCAGCAGTAACACACATTCATGAGACACAGTATGAGAAGTAGAAATTTGGTAGAGCAGAGAATATTATAATCAATTCATTCACTTAACTGCATGTTGATGCACAGAAATGATGGGACTTTTAGAAGGCATCCCAACTGTTGAGTAAATAGTTGGACTTTGGCATGTTGAAAGTTGCCGGGGTTGCAAAGCATTAAAGATTTGCTTTGGTTTTGGATAAACCACTGCCCATTTCACTGGTCTTTCAGGAGATGAAGGTCTAATTTAATGGCAGGTTTCATAAAAGCAAGCAGTATTCATTCCACACATACTAAGAATCATCTACCTGCCAGCTGTTTTGTTAGGTGCAGTGGATACCACAATGATCAAAGGAGACAGATTTCTGGCCTGCATAGAAATCTGGTGCTGTTATTGCGAATATAAACATAGGTAATATCAGAAACAGACCATCATTACTGAGTTAAATGTCTTAGTCATTAAAATTGTAGTAGTGAGGGAGAAACCATCTTGAAGTAGGCTAAAGAAATTATATAGAGGGGCCTGAGAAGGTAGCTCAATGGTAGAACGCTAGCATTGAGCTGAAGAGCTGAGGGACAGCGCCCAGGCCCAGAGTTCAGGCCCACAACCGGACCCTCCCAAAAAAAATTATATAGAAATAATTGTAACTTTCCCCCTCTGCTTCCAAAACATAGGTGCTCTGGCTTCAAGAGCTAATGTGGCTAGAACACAGGAAGTAAGAGTAGTGGTGGGAACTGGGTTGTGAATGGCCTTGGAAGATATTGAGTAACTTGGTTTTGATTCTGTCTGACTTGAGTGCTGAGAGTGCTGAGCAGAAGGATCTTGCCTAGGTTTTGAAATGAGTCATTACTTGTTATTTTGAGAATATCTGTAAGGAATCCAAAAAGGATAGCATGTAGATTAATTGTAAGCTATTAAAATAACAAAGATAAGAAATAATGAAGGCTTAGAAAAGAGTGTTAGCATTGGAGGTGGTGAGAAGTTATCAAGGGTTCTGAAATTTGAAAGAAATTTGTGCAAAACTTACTAAGTAATTAGGTGAAAGAGGAAAGAAGAACTGCAACATTTTGACCCGATAGCTCAAACGGCAGGGTTGACCCTAACTAAGATGAGAGCCACTTTAGTGGTTGGTGGAGAATACAGCTAGGGAACTAGATAGGGACTAAGTTATTCTTCACCAGGGTGAGGGTCTTAAAGCAGAATCTTCTGGAAGTGATTAGGTCATCAAGGTCCTATTCTTAGGAATGGATTAGTGACCTTATTAAAAAAAAAAGACCAAGGGAGCTGTTCACCCTACTATGCCTCTCTATTTTATGTGATCTGAGGACACAGCATTCATCTCTTGCCTCTTTGCTCTATGTTTCTTCTACCATGTTAAATCAGAGTTCCTTCTATCTGGAGAATACAGAAATGAGTCCCTATCCCTATCCCTATCCTGAGAGGTTCA